ATATATATATATATATATATATATATATATATATATCAGTAGTTAACGACTTTTTGTACAACAGCCCATTTTCCACTAAACACCATATTTTAATTTGTGCCTGAGTTTTGAAGCTGACCATTGTTGGCATATTCCAACGCCAATTTAACAGTTAGGTTCCATTATAGATAGATTTTATTTGATAAATCGCACAGTGTTTACAGTTATGAACTGAACACTGTGCGATTTATCAAATAAATCTTATCTATAATGGAATTATACTCTACCACAGTGCCAAGTTTTATTATATCAATAACAGTTAGGTTGTTCAGTAATTTTTTTTAAAGTTACATTCACTTTCGAATTGCTTGATTACGTTGTCTCAAAGTGTTCAATCTCTTTTGATATGTGGCTTCTTCTGTGGACGCTTCTATGGTGTCTGGGGGTTAACATGAAGTTTCCTTGATTGATATTGACTAACAGTAGCCTGATGGATAATCCATCGGTGCTTGAAACCATGGGTGCAAGGTGTGAATCTCAGCGGGAACACCATCACTCACTAAGAACTCAGATGCATTAACCTGATGAGTCCCAAAATGTAGGAGATGTGTGTCTTCAACTCCACTTTTAGTCACCACCAACCAAATTTAACTCCATGTTAATTAATTTTCCTTCTTTAATAGTTCTTTAAATTTCATTTTTTTTCTGCTCAACTGATTCGACTCCATTCCTTTCGAAATGTCGGTTGGTCCATTTCAGTGAGTGTATTTTCAAAACTTCCTTGATATACAGGTAACTGGATACTTAGAGAGAAATGAGCTTAAAATTCAAAATGATTCCTCTGGTATATGCATCGTTTATTTTCATAAATCCTGAAATAAGGCGTTTTTTATACTTCACCCATTTTTCTCTGTCTCTCTTTCTATCTATCAATATTTACCTGCTTTCATTGGTTTTTATAAGACATCAATAATTTCATGTGGTATATACTTTTAAAGAGATTTACTTTATTTTTCCTATGTAGGTATGTGATGCCACAAATTCTATTTTTATCTTGCTACGAAGCATTACTATTCAGGTCATCTGGTTCCGAATAACTTAAGATAGTTTGCATGAAATGTATATTCGTAAAATGTTATCTTCGGTATCCATATTTCATGTTGACCATGGAAGTGAATATTTGTTGGCACTACTGTCGAGTGTGCGTCGGTGGCACAGCGGTAGGATGCTCGCTGACCACGCATATGGTTCGGGGTTTGATCCCCGATCGAAGCACTCCTTTACCTTGCTAAGCCAGTAATAAGACCGGTGAAGACAGGGGATTGGGCATGAGGCTGGCAACCTCATCCTTTAAAAATAAACACCACTGCTACAGAAACCTCAAGCCTCTAGCTTGAAGCCCTATTTTCCACTGCGAACGTAAAGGAATTAAAAAATAAGAACTGTCGAATAACTGAATACTCGTCTGTTGTTGGTGTTTTTTGCACTAATTTAAACGTACTGTTCTAACTTCTATCTGTCTTTTGATTTTTCTCAGACAGGGGATTCAGCAACATGGTCTCGATTATGAAGAGTACTGAGTCATAACACCATGATTCTCAAAACATTAATTCTAGGCAATCGAAGAACCTGAAGCAGGCATTCTACACTTGCTTGTTAGGATTAAACCAAGAGAAAGATTTGTTGAATTTATACCATTTTTTCGTCTTGACTGTCCCAAACTTTTTTCCATCATTCCTTGTTGAAGGAGATTTTGCCTCGTTATGCGTTCAAAATGTCCAAGCTACCTTATACAGTCAAAACTAGTTGCTTCATCCAGTGATCTATTGCACTGATATAGCACTCATGTCTACTCTCAAAAACATGGAACTTGAGCAACGAAACAGCCACCTATTACCATCATCCTATATTACTGCACAAAATTATATTGATCACCCCCCAGTAATTAATTTGTGCTCTAGAAATGGAGATTGATGTACTCCTAACTTTGAAATTGGATTATGGAAGTAAAATCTTAATTCTCATACTCATCCTTAGCTATAAATCTCTATTTTTCATGGTCTTTTAAATGCTATTTGCTTCTGTGTGTGTTCTGAAGTGCAGGAACTTCGTCTGTCAGAGGGATTCTATTCGAGAACAACCATTTTTCCTGAATCACTTTTAGTGATACAACATACTACAGTAAAGCGTTAGACATAAATTACTCAGTTCTTTTTATCGGGTTGAGGGCTGCACGCCAGTGAGATAGAATGATGTAATAATAATACGACTGAAATTCAAGTGAAGAATACCGAATCCATTCATTGGAGGAGAGATAATAAGCAAACCCTCTAAAGTCCGTATTGTAACAGCTGAGACCTAAAGTGTAAGAGGAATGGCAAAAATGAAAAATAATTATGAAAGCTATTGAAAAGGAAGGAGTAGGTGATACATCAGCATCAGACAACAATTTATCGCGAAAAAGAATTGAACCATCTTATTTCAAAGGGGAAAAAACCAGGTCTATGTTCATCACGAAAATCATTATTTAAAACTCCAGAATCCATATTACATGAATAGCATGAACTTATTTAATATCTGCTGTTTCTCTGGTGAAAACTGAAGACAATTGAAATCTTGATGTTTGTGATTAATAAATTGTCATAAGTAAATAAATACGACTGTATTACTGTATGTCTTCTCATAGAAAATTATTCTATTCTGGAATTATGAGAGTGCCATTTGTCAGGTGACCCGCAACAGACAACTCGACAAAGCGTTTGAAGTGAATACAGCAGTAAGACAAGACTGATTACTATCATCCACGATGATATTCTTAATTCTAGTGGATTGGATTGTGCGGTAGAATATCAGTTGAGAGTGAGAAAACAGGAATATACTGGACTGATTGATATTCAGACTCAAGAAGATTTGGATATCGCGAGTGATTAGTATCTGTAATCACACAAACTCAAAGACTTACAAGCGAAAACAAACAAGTTGACAGAAGAAGCGGCAAGGACAGGATTTCGAGTGAACATAGAGGAGACAGAGGTGATGAAAGTAACCAAGTAACCAACAACAAGCGTCAACAGTTATCAGATGAAGAAATTTGAAAGAGGTCACTTCCTTTACTTATCTAGTCAGCCAGCATCGTTTCAACTACAGTCGTCAAGGATGATGATGTCAAATTCAAGATCGGAAAGGCTGAGCAGACTTTTATCACTCTGAATGCAGTTTGAAAATCTTGTGCATTCAGGATGAAGAATAAAATTTGGATTTCCAACACAAATGTTAAGTCACTTCTTCTGTATGGTTCAGAAACTTATTGCGTCACGAAAAGCGTTTCGAACAGGTTGCAGACTTTCATCAACATCTACCTTCCCTCCACAGTGAAGATTAACATGGTCACATAGAATTAGTAACAAGAAACTCTAGGAGCAGAACTTTCGAGAACCTATCGCTCAACACATTCCAAATAAAATATAGATTAATTGGATACACACTGAGTAGAACAATGGGTGACATGGCGCGCCAGGCCGTCGGGTGTAACCCGAATGGGAAACGAAGAGTTTGGTGTAGGTTCGAGGATGACATGGAGAAGACCCTGTGAGGAGGAGATGAGAGATTATGTGGAATCTTGTGACCAGCTATGAGGGACAGCAGAGAATGCGACAAAGTAGAGATATGTTGTTCAAGCGTAATGTTCAACCGGAAACCAAATGATAATATTGAATTATATTCTACCCCAGTACCTGAGTTTTAGTCTTAGAACAAAACTGGTCCCTATTAATTTAAGAGTAACAGGAAATTACAAAATTGCTGCCATTTGACAAGTTAATCACGACAATATTATCCTCATCATGAAATGAAGAGAAACCGTTCTTATTATCAATGTGAATTGTGTTAAGACTAAATAGGATTGCAAACGCATCAATTGACATTTAAATAAAAAGTGAATCAAAAACATCTCAACAATCAAATCCAAACAAAGTTAAATAACGTAAGAATATCTGAGCACTTCACAAAGAAGTACTTGTGTGGTGAAAGCTGGCTGCTAGCCAAATTGGTAGATAGTAATTTACGTCAGTGTTTACGTCCCAAATATAGGTCGTGAGAAAATATGAACAAAGACTGATTCAACAACCAACCACAGCACACTGCGCAGGCGGATACAGTTAGCATAGAGATCATCTGACTTTCAAGAAAAAGCCACAAAGAGATGAAAGATTGACGTTCAGCGAGAAACCACCAATCAGAAGACTATGTCTGTTCGCTTACAATAATCTATAATAATGTACATGAAAGTCTATAAATATCTGTTGATTTCCTAAATAAACAAGCTGTTGCCTGACCCTTGTCTTCTGTTGTCACACCTGTAGTGGTTCGAGACCAATATTTCCAACTCATATCATTTATAGGTACAACGTTTTCTTTCTTTCTTTTCCTTTTCTCTTTTTTCTGTTACGTGCTACTTTGTTTCTTTCTTCCTTACAAACTACTTAAAACATTCCTCTTCGCTCTTTCACACTCTGTATATCTGGACCTTTTTGTTACCACTTACGCCAGTAAATATGCTAGCATCTACTTTTCTAACACCTTCGAACACTCTGTTTAATTTTTTGGCCTTGCTACCGACATGCCAATGTGTTGTTTTCATAACTAACTGAGATTACCCTTAATCTACGTAGAATTTTATTTATTATTAATGTGCAAACTGGATGCAATATTGTAGCAAAATGCTGAAAATTCCATTCTGTATCACAAGTACTGTTTTGTAATAAAGCAAATTACTATTATTATTATAATTATTAAAATCCTACAGCCTATCCGTAATGTGTAAACTAGGTATTCTACTACGAAACTTCTTAATGCAGTTATCACCGAAGATGTCAATAAGCTTGGCAAAAATACGGACCCAATCACTTATCAAAGTTCAGCTTATAGCAGATATAATAGTCAAGTTTTACTACGGTACTGCTAACACATTGTATATATATTTACATATATTGCAATTTTCACCTTTATTCAGTTAAAGGCAACACTGATATCTACATATTCACACTACACAGTGTATAACTTTTTTTTATCAAAATATCAGCATAGTCAGGTTATTGTCAATAATAGTGACATCATACATGGATTATCTTTATAATCTACAGATTGAACTATAACTAGTTTAAAAATATCATCCGACAACATTTAAACCTTGAATTTTCTTTCATTTTCTTTACATCATACTAAATGATCATATAAAAATGCACTTGCTTCAAATTCTGGATAATGCATATCAAGCATTTCTAAGAATTGTTTCAATTTATGTATATTCGGTGCGGCTACAGTCACTGGACGTACTTGTTTGCCTTGATAAAACAAGGCTGGTTCAGTTATTCTATTATTATATATAGTATTACTACTGCTGATACAACTACTATTATCATAATCATCACCTGCATATTTCATATTCTTTTTAGCATATACCGACTTCATATTCTGCTCACAAGTTTTAACTGACTGAATGAGATGTTTATGTCTTGCATGATAGTAGACATGACACTGGGTATCGTAGGCGATCGATGAGATTTTCCCGCCGTGTACAAATGCTTTGAGTGTTTTTTGATTGTCTTCAACATAGAATACATAGTGTAGTGGTAATAAATCGCTTTTTTGTATTTGATTCATGTGATAAGTGATATTTTTGCCGTTAGATATTTCATTACAATTATTATTTATTCTAGTTGATATCATCCTTGCATCATTGTCTTCCTTTGAAGATTGTTGTTCCTGTGATGCATTCGGTTCTATGGTAAAATAAGGAAAAAAAACTACTATGATGCTTAGTTAGGTATGTTTTTAAAAAATACTCATTTTAATTTATATTGTTTAAAATATGTTTATGTAAGTTAGTGTGTATAAAACGCACGACCTTGAGGAGTCGGTCGTTTAAACAAGCCAATTGTAGCAGATTTCAATTTATCTAATTTTCTAAAATTGTTATACACCAACAAGTAAATTTCGTATGTGTAGTAATTTGATGAGAAAAAACCTCATCTATATTTGACGTTAGATGGAAGGATTCCTATATTCATTTCTTTTTTTTATATTTTTATTTTGTTTACAGCTTGATTCCACACTGTATTTTTGGTACAAGTGTGAAATTTTCAGCATGTGATATCTGTAGTCCGTATTTTACAGGCCGACTATTATGTACTCGTCGCCAAATTGTTATTGTGTACTCTTCGAGAATTTAATAGTCCTAACGCGAGAAAGACGGGAATCAGAAGACCACTAGGTTTGCGATGATACTTCTATTTTCCAAACACAAGGAGAATCAATATATCCCACAAGAGTGTGAGAGCAAAATATAAATGTCCGAACAAGTGTGTGAACGAATATTCAAAATGAACAAATCAATAGAGAGTTTTAATATGATTGGCTAATTATAATGGAATATCGATCCATATATACATAGCAAAATATATCAGACTGTCAAACAAACACTCAATTTATATGGATACATGTCACCAAGAACAGATTGTCAAACAAACACACATATTATATGGATATATATATCACCGACCATAGATATCAGCTGTGCGTCGGCAGGGGATCGAACCCCGGACCATGTGCATGGTCGGCGAGAATCCTAACCGCTGTGCCACAGACGCACGAATCAAGTATTTCTTTTTTTTACATTAATAAACATATGACATGTTTCGACAGGTAGTTAAACGTTTTGCGCATTTAGCGTTGATGAGTTCTGAAGGCTTTAAATTACTTTTAGAAGACAAAAGGACTGGGCGAAGAAATATTCACTTTTCAGTTAGATCCTCATCTTTGGCTCTACTCTAATACACATATAGCATTTTTAATACAATACAAAAAGGTTTTTTACGAGTTGATCACGGATTGATATCAGTTAGAGAACCATTGAAAACCATGAGCCATTGAATCGGGTCCCAGTGGCTGAATGGTGTACGAGCTTGCCTTGTAATCGGAAGGTCCTGGGTTCGAACCCTGGCGGTGTGTGCGTACTGCCGATTATTCCCAAACTAGGACGAAACAGCTGTCCAATACTGCCTATTGGTTTTATAATGGTTCTCTAATTGATATCAATCCATTAGCAAACTTGAAAAGCAAATCTAATCCTTACAAATCAACTCTTGAAAATGATAGGGGCAGGGTGAAATTATCAGTTTTCGAATTTATTTTTAACGATGGCTAAGATATGAAAATAGCTGCACAAATTTCTTTTTCAGACGGATTCCGGTTGCTTCAGCTGTATTTAGAAGACGGACTCGTAGAGCGAAATTAATATTATTCGGAATGTGATAAATAACTTAAAATGCTTTATTAATATCAACTTTATGCTCACTGATATAAATATAAAACATGGGCACTATGGTAGATTATAATTCCATTATGGATAAGATTTTATTTTGATAAAGTCACACAGTGTTATACAGTAATATTAACTGATGCCGTTTCGAGCACAAACTTTTGCTCATAATCCTATCATGGATTTATGCTCACTGCCTATAATGTGTGCTAAAATAGATCCACGAATATATAGTGTTTGTCTCTTACTTAACAATGCAGAACGATGTTTTGAAATACGATGATGAATCTGTTTAATTGTACACCCCGAGATAAGGATCTAACTGAAAAGTAAACATTTATTTCCTAACTCCATTTGTCTCCTAAATGTCTAAATGGGGATTATTTCCTATGTTGAAATTACTTTAAATGAACTTACTTCAGCTAGAAAAATGTTAGAAACAGCAACATTTCAGGTAAGTGTTTGTTTCTTTTTTTAGATTTTATTTCGAAACTACATTTACAACATTCCTGTTATTTGATTTCTTGTTTCCTTCCTTGCTTTTCGAATGGAATATAGGGCTTCAAGTTTCAGTAACGGTTGTGTTCATTTCTGCGGAGTGGAGTTGCTAGCTGCTTGCTCAAAATTCCTTTTTCTCCAAGGTTTACTGTCAAACTGGTAAGATTTTGGAGTGCATCGGTTAAGATGTGACATTTGATGCTACAGTATAAACCAAATATGCGAGGACTCAGGCGAAGTCTTCAAGAGTTAGTTTGTAGGGGTTTGATCTGATTGAAGCTTGATCAGGAGTACGTGCCCACCAGGGTTTGAATGTGGGACCTTCCAGTTACACGGAGAGTTCGTGCACCACTCATCCACTGGGACCGATACCTGAGTATGTGTTGGCGATGAATGCTTGACTAAGAAGAAGCAGCTGCCTGGTACTACCTAGTTTCCAGTGGTTCTCTAATTGATATCTATCCGTTGTCATACATGAGATGAAATCAACTGACCATAATTCTTAGATTTTAAACAGTAACTAATAGGATATAATTATTATCTACCGGCAACAAGGAGACCTCCTTGGTTTTCTATACTTTAAATAAGAATAAACAGTTTAGCGAAGAGTCTGTTTTCAGCTACTATCAGGAATGAATTCGTCGAAGAGAGAATCTTCTCTAAAGTGTTTGTTCTTATTTTCATATCTGGATAGGTATGTTTTATGAATTAAAAATTAGCGAGGACCCTTCGACAGTGAAGGAACTCAATGGGTTTCTGTGCTATTCTGTCAGACTTGCTGAAGTCATTGCAAAGATTGGTTTCCTGAGAGACTGTATGCACAATCATGAATATAGAATTGATTTACCGAAAAGAGACTCCTCGCTGAACTGTGTGTTCTTATTTTCAAATCTGGATGTGTATTTCTTTTCCCAGCACTAGAGATAATTTCGCGGGAGAACTTGTTTTTGAAAGTAAGGCACTAGTGTGTACTTAATGAATGAGTAGAGATGCCCTTCTTCAAAAGCCTCATATTATTTTACTTCTTTTTGTTTTGTGCACTAAAGTTGAGTCCTGAAATCATTTAATCATCAAAATATGCAGAGAATTTTAGTATGGTTTGTGTGTGTGTGTGTGTGTAATATTGACTAAAAGGAAAAATCAATATTTACTGTTGAGTAGTTTGAACTGGATAGGACATACGCTGAGAATACTACTGCGTTAAACTACTTGTCAGTCCCTCGAGTGCAAACTCAATGGGAAACGATGAGTTGTGTATAGGTCTAAGGATGACGTGCAGAAGATCATGTGAAGAGGAAATAAAAGTATATTATCAAATGTAGAGCAAGCAAAAAGGACTGACGAAAACAGAATGAAATCGAGATGTGCTGTCTAATTCCACGGTCCTGCTCAGAGCACAAGGTAATAATAAACATTATAATTTAATTGAAATTGGTGGAACCGAATACTGAAAATTAAGTTGTAATTTATCGTATTTCATCATTAGCTGACACCTGTTAGAGGACCACTGGGAAACCTGGGAGTGCTGGACAGATGTTTCGTCTTGGTTTGGGAAGCTTCAGTGGCACGCATCCTCTAGGGTTCGAACCCAGGATTTCCTGATTGTAAATCTACTGTGTATAAGACAACGAATCAGTTAGAGGAATGAAAAAGTTCTCGAAATGTCAGGTCGATAACTATTAAAATTGTTTAAAAATTTACCCTATATTGGATAAATTGGGAGAAATTGAATAATTGATACGAGTATTTTAATTTGATCGGGAAATCGGTTAACTGTTATTACCCTGGTGCATGACTGACTAACGAACAACTAATACATATACACTGCTGGTTAGTAAAAACCGGTTTATAAACCACTTAAAAACAAAACAAACTCCACAGTCTTTTGTTTTTTAGCAAACACTTTAGGAGTTGACATTTTGAAAAATTACAGATATCAGCTTCAAAATTACGGTCAGTTAAATTTAATCACATAATCCAGGTAAACATAGACAAGACGGAGGTTATGAAAATAACCAACCAACAACAGCAACAACATCCAGCGTCAATCACCATCAACACGATGGATTTGAAAGAGGTTACTTCATTCACTTATCTAGCATTGATCATTGTTTCAACTACAGAAAGTCGAAACGGACGACGATGTCAAATCGAGCGAGAATCGGGAAGGCGAGAAACACATTCATCAACCTGAAAGCAATCCGTAAATCTTCGTCACTCAGCATCAACAACAAAATTCGGTCAGATTTTCATACAAACCTAAAGTCAGTTCTTCTATACGGATGAGAAACTTGGCGGGGGGTCACAAAGAATATTTCCAACAGTCTGTTGCAGACCTTCATCAACCAACAACTGTCTTCGCTGGCTCTATACTGAAGATCAGATGGCCGGGCCGGAAAGAACCACCAACAAGGAATTATGGGAACAAACAAAGCAAGAACCAATTGCCAGCCAACAAATATGCAGGAGAAAGTGGAGGTGGATCGGACACTCGCTGAGGAGACCGCTGGGTGATATCGCGCGTCAAGCCCTCGAGTGGAACCCGAAAGGGAAGCGGCGTGTGGGTGACATGGAGGAGATCGTGTGAAGAGGAGTTGAAAGAATATGACTAACATGGATGCAGGCGAAAAGTACAGCAGAAGACAGAAGCAAATGGAGACGTGCAGTTGAAGCCCTATGTTCCACTAGGAACCCAAGGGAGCAATAATAATAATGATGATTGTTTTATATATATATATATATATATATATGTTTATGTATATTTATAGTTTTGCAGCTTGTTTGATAAAATCAGAAAGCAGTTGTGCCTTTTGACTTTTCAAAAATTTTTTTTTTAAACTACACACAAGGAAATGCACTGTGAAATGCAGTTCAGAGAAATTTTTGTCCCAGAAATGTTAGTTTCACAGGGAAACAGTTGTTTTCCTTAATCTGTGTCGCTTTACGTTATTTATATAATGTAGG